AGTTCTTATGCGATGCTCAGAATTTTTGTCCATCGAAGGGTTCGTGAGAAAAATTTTTATTTGGAGGTCTATATTTGCTGAAAAAGTAAAGAATTTTTAATTCGATTTTTTCTCTTTCCCGGCAAATTTGGGTTGGCGGATCAGACTAAGACATGTTTTTGTAATAAGCTGGACCGAGTGCTTCCACCAAAACATAAAACAAAAATTTTTTTTTTATCAAAAATTTGGAAAAAATGAACAAAGGGGGTACCCTTGGAATTTTTCGAATTTCGTTATTCCGCTATATTGGCGTCAATTTTCGTCAGAGAGTCAAGCGAGTGGACATTTATTACATAAAATTGACCGCTCGTTCTTATGCGGTGCTCAGAATTTTTCTACATCTAACGGTTCGTGAGAAAAATTTTCATTTGGAGGTCTATATTTGCTGAAAAAGTAAAGAATTTTTAATTCGATTTTTTCTCTTTCCCGGCAAATTTGGGTTGGCGGATCAGACTAAGACATGTTTTTGTAATAAGCTGGACCGAGTGCTTGCACCAAAACATAAAACAAAAATTTTTTTTTGTATCAAAAATTTGGAAAAAATGAACAAAGGGGGTACCCTTGGATTTTTTTCGAATTTCGTTATTCGGCTATATTGGCGTCAATTTTCGTCCGAGAGTCAAGTGAAAGGACATTTCTTACATAAAATTGACCGCTCGTTCTTATGCGGTGCTCAGAATTTTTCTACATCTAAGGGTTCGTAAGAAAAATTTTCATTTGGAGTTTTTTATGTGCCCACACATATGATCCTATGCTTATATTAATGTTATTAAAATCAACAACTGGAAAGAATGGTATATCAATTCCAAAAAGGGACTGTATTATAAAACTATTCAAACAGGGATCCCATCTAAAAGTTGGTTTAGTGACTATCAAGGCAACAATGTCTTTATACCATATATATGTAGACTTAGGTTTGGTCACTCCTTAGTTCCACAACATATACGTAAAATAGGACTGTCAGACACAAACTGTTGTGGATGTGGAGAATTAGGATCCGCAGAACAAATGATATTAGATTGTAAATTAAAAAAAAAGAAATAGATTATTTTATAGATCAAATTTATATTTGAAAAGAAAGAAAACCTTTTAATCTACAAGCTTTGATTGCTACTAAAGATAAAATTATCTATGAGATCCTAATTAAACACATCATTAATATAAAACTAAAATTGTGAAATTTTATATAAGTGAAAATATGAAAAAATATGAAAAAAATAACAAAAATAAATAAATAAATGAAAAATTAAAAAAAAAGAATAATAAAAAAATAAAACAAAAATAAAAAAAAAGTGTTATCTATTACAAAATTACAAAATTAAATATCCTGTAAAAGCTAGGCTATATGCAGATGATTTAGTTATACTTTGTAGAGGAAAGAACCTAACAACCATCCATAACAATGTCCAAAAAGCCATAAATCATATTGAAGAATGGTCATTCACAAGTGGTCTTTAGTTCAATACCCTCAAAACCAAAGCAGTATGTTTTACGAAAAGTCACCAAATACAACCTAAGAACTTATATTTAAATGGAGAACAGCTTAAATATGTAGACGAAGTTAGATTTCTTGGTATGATCTTTGACCAAAAACTAACTTGGAAGAAACATCTAGAATATTTAAAAAAGACATGTCAGCCTGGAATAAATTTGTTACGATCACTCGCAAACAAAAAATTTGGCGCCGACTCTTCTACATTACTACATATCTACAAGGCTCTAGTACGCTCCAAACTGGACTACGGCTCAATTGTTTATAACTCCAAAAAAACGTACTTAAAAACAATAGACTTTATTCAAAATACAGGCCTCGAATTTTCTTTCTTATGCCGCGGCAGTATCGTCTAATCAAGATAATCCTGTTATACACAACGTATTCGATGACCGCTTCAAAAGTTGTTTCCAAACTTCAAATCGAACTGATCACCCTTTCTATTTCCGTCTATATATCTACTTGTTAACAATGGGTATCCATTTTCCAGACACCTACGATATCTCCTCAATTCAAACCCCTTCTCCTTGGACAATTCGACTTCCCTCTACTGACACCAGCTTATTGCGCCTAAATAAATCAGAAACGCCAGCAAGTCAAATTAATCAAGAATTTCTAAAAATATTAAACAAATATGGTAGCTGTTTCAAAGTTTACACCGATGCCTTCAAAAACGAAGACGAAACTAGGGCAGCAATCTACTCTTCAGAGTATACAGAAGCTTACACATTACCTTGATATACAACAACGTTCTCAGCTGAGCTGTATGCGATACTAAAAGCACTAGTTCCGATAGTTAACAAAAATAAAAAGAGAAATATCATTATTACAGATTTTCTCAGCTCAATAATGGCATTAAACCAACTCTACTGTAATCATCCACTACTCCTTCTCATTAAAAAGGAACTAAAACATGCGGAAAATATGAACATTAAAGTTAATTTTATATGGGTACCGTCACATACCGGAATCGAAGGAAACGAGATTGTAGATAAAATAGCAAAAAATGCACCTACTAATCCAAATGCAGAAGAGAAAACGAAATTTTCACACCGACCTGAAAGCATTCTTTAAAGAACAAAATTCAACAATAGAAGACAATAAGTAACTTTCACTCGCCTCCGGATTGGCCATACTAGGTTAACACACGACTACCTACTAAAACGTACTGATAAACCTGTGTGTGACATGTGTAAAAGTGTCTTAACGGTAAAATATTGTTTATTGCAGTGCCCCAAGTACGATGTACAACGCAAAATGTATAACATTCCATCAACATTAAACAGTGCTCTTGGAAAAGACAGTAATACTAAAAATATTTTCGCCTTTCTCAAAGACTGCCAGCTGATATCAAAAATCTAATATTTTACTGTGTATAGATATAGGTTTATTTCTATTTATGTATTGCTATAGTTAATATTCTATTGTTAAGTTCTAACTTTGTATCACAATCCATACACGCTAATAACCCTGCGTGGTTGATGCGTTATATAGAAAAAAAAATTATAAATCTAATGTTATAAATAAATATGTTAGCAAGCTGAGTGATTTTATCAAAACAAAAATTTTTATGTAGACGCTTCTCACATTTAGTACACTCTAAGCGTGTGTTTATTTGGCATACAGTACATCTACCTCGTGATGTACTTTTAGAAATATGATGTATTCCATAAAATCGTATATCTCTAAGAACTGGACAAATTGGACCACCTTTTCTTTTTCTTGAGCTTGCTCAATTGCTTTCCTAAGCTTGCTTTGATTAGTGCTGTAGCAACATTTCTTTAGCAAAATCCAAATGAGTTATAGTACTTTCAGGATTTACGTGTTGGTAGAAACGGAATGGTGCTACTACCGCTAAATTTAAGGAGTGAGAAAATAAATTCCACCACCATTTTTTTGATCTTTATCTCGGACGATAACTAGCACACATTCTATCGTAAAGGTCGACACCACCCATTCTAAAATTGTATTTCTTGATCAAATTTGGTTGTGGAACTTCTTTTCTATTTTCAGATTTTACTCTTCTTGTCGCATTTTGCAGCGGACTGATGGAGAAATGATTTCTATCACAGTATATCTCTAAATTATAGGGGAATCTTAGCCGGGTGATGCCCATGATACGGAATTATCAGTTCATCTATGCTGAGATTTTCATGGGAAACTCCAAATTTTTGCCTGCGTCATATCTCCATCTATTCTCACCATAGCTTTGGAACCCTCCATAGACAGTTGTTTTAACATCTTTTGTCGATCTACTCCATCAAACGCCTGTTTGAAATCGATATACAAGTTGTAAATAGGTATGTTATATTCAGCACATTTTTCATGTATACCTCGTAACATATGTATTTGGTCTATGGTTGACCTCTTTGATCTGAAGCCACATTGGTATTCACCAATCATCTCCTCCGAAAACGATTCCAGGCAGCTGTATATAATTCCTGATAATATCTTGTAGACGACATTTAAAACTGTTATGCCCCTATAATTTTTGCAACTAAGTTTAACAACTCTTGAAAATACTCCTTTCGCCTTTTCATTATTTCCTCTTTCTCGCTGATAATTGCATTTTTGTCCTTGCAAACTGTTAATCTTGTCATGTATTTTTGGATGTATTGCTTTGTTTCCTTGTAAAATTTTCTAGTCTCTCTTCTGTTATTATACTCTGTAATTTGTTGTATTTTTCTGTTCAACATTTCTCTCTTTTTCCTTCTACATAATTTCTTTGCATCTTTTATGAGTTCTTCATATGCCCTTCTATTCAATCGGGAATCCCTTTGTAGACATGTCTGTCTAACTATGTTTTTGTTATTTATTACTCGTTGGCAATCTTGGTCAACCATTCCTCGTTTCTTTTGCTTGATCTTTCACCTAATGTTTCCTTTACCATATTTGTAATTGTCTTATGGATTACATTCCGTTCTTCTTCGATGTTGTTTTGTTCTCCTGTTTCATTTAATATTACTTTTATTTTCTGCTAGTACTCATTCTTCTTTTTAGGATTTTTAAGCATATACATATGTGTTCCATTTTCTGTGTTTGGCACCTTTCTCTTTTCTTACCATTGATATTCTTTGTTTTATCTTCGATATAACCAAGAAATATCTGATAATATGTGATCATATATCTCTATATAATTTTATTTAGGCTTTAATATATACGCAAAAAAGTTAATGTATTTTAAAATTGGCATTAGTAATTATTTTAGTGTAAAAGTCCTGTGATGTGTTGGTTTGCATTTTAATGGTTCCACTCTTGTGAGTTTTTATTTACTCGAAATATCGAGTTTGACGAGATAATAGAATCTTCTTGAAAAACCTGATATTCCTATATGTGTAGGTGATGTAGAGTGTACAATCCATTTGTAAAAAATTTTGTCCATTTTTTAAATGGTATAATGGCCCTAGTCATAACTAAGTAATCAAGGTAAGACATTACAAGGAGACGAATAAACATAATGAGTCCGACAACTTGTTCATCCTATAACTTTATTTATCACTCCACAAAAGTATTTGAACAATTTGTACAAAGGTAAAAAATATAAACATATAAAAACATAAAATCGTGGAAAAATGTACAAGACAAGTTATTCAAATTACCTGTAGTGTCCGAAATGTATTCAATTTTTTTAAGCTATAGTTGCTGTGAGATATAAACTTGATACTACACATAAGAAGGACAAAAAGATGGAGAAAGTGATAACTGAAGATCCACTGTCCACATCTTGTCCGATTGGGAAAAGACATTTGTTATTCCTACATTGATAAGAATCGTCTAGTACCACTGTACATTGATCGCTCGTCATGCAGGGATCACCATGATCTAAAAAACAGATAAAATGAATGTGTTAATTTACTAAATATAGGTAGAAGTGATAATTTCTGTAGTGTATTATTCGTATCTCACTAAAATCTGAGAACATTTTATAACAAAATTACAGAAAAGCAAAGCCTAGATCGTTAGACCATGGAGTTGGGGTATCTACATTGTAAAAATGGCGTGCATCCTATCCTCCATGCTATGACATGCTGGACGTGCCATACAGTATGTAGTCAACACCCGAGGTATGAACAAGAATACAAACTGTATCAATACTCTTACGCGTATGAAACTTACCTGGCGAATCGTAAGAGCCTTCACATTTTATTTTCCTATCAGCCTCTCTTGGCTAACTCTTGTTTCCTCCGACCCCGAAGGGCTATTAGGTTTCCGAGGTGAGACATGTCACTATATTTCCTTCTAATTACTACACACTGTAGGTCTTATTCTAAAGTAAAGTCTTGTGTGGCCGAAGTAAGCCAATTTTCTGTTTTTTGTGTTAATAATTTCGTTGTCTTTTCTTAGTCTCTGGAGAATAGTTATGTTAGTTGTGTGGTGTATATATGAGACCCTCAACGTACGTCGGTAACACCACATTTCAAATGTCCCAATCATTTTATGACATCTTCTGTAAGGCTCCAGCTTTCTACTCCATAGAGGAGGACACTAAAGATCTAAGCATTCTTATGCGTATATTGATACTTAAAGATAAGTTGCGGAGAATCTTCCTAAGGCTGTTGAAAGAGCTTCTGGCTTTTTCAACACGAGTTTTTTAACGGTGTATCGTTAATTGTAATTTGGGCGTTTATGCCGGTGTTCTTACTAATGATCATTATTTTTGTCCATCATGATAACAAAATGGCTAATAAATTGGAATAATTCAATAACCCTTTGTGGTTGAAGCGAATTGTAAATAAAAAATATTTAAAATAAACATGAATTTAAGGAAACTCGATATTAACCATAAGGCTAACAAAAGACAAAGAAATTATTAATACCATAAAGAACAGCAAATTGGCCTACTTCGATCATAATAATAAATACCAACTTCTACAGTTGATTCTACAAACCAAGATTGAGGGCAGATACGAGCTATTCCAATGCATTTTGCAAGGTAAAATTGAAGGGAAAAGGGCCTCAGGATGAAGAAGAATATCCTGGCTTGCTAACCTGAGAGCATGGTATGTTAAGACCTCAACACAGCAATTCGCCAATGATTGCCAACGTTCGGAACGGATAGGCACCCACAGGCAACGAATTTGTGTGCTTCTGTCACCAGATCTTGTAGTGGCGCTATTTGTGTGCTGTTCGTGACCTTCATGTATTTTGTTTTGGCTACGTTGACCTGCAGTCCCATTGTCTTCGCGGCTTTTTCCAATGTTTCAAAAGCCTGTATCGGGTCTCTTTTTGTCAGTGTTACTATGTCAATGTCATCTGCGTAGGCCAATATCTGTACACTTCTATTGATGATCGTACCTGTGGTTGTTACGCCTAATTTCTCTATGGCTCTTTCTAGCTCGATGGTAAACAATAGGCACGATACGTAAACACGTTTTGTACCTTCGCACTTAACTTTCGAAAGAGTTGCCTTTACCAATGTTATTAGATGCAACGGAATATCTAGTTCTGCCATGGCGTTATAAAGTGCGCTTCTGTCTACACTGTCATAAAAGCTTTTAAAATTTATGGTGGTGGGAATAGAATAAGACGGATAAATGTGGTGGCCAACATCACTTGAATATAGGCACCTTTATAAGAATAAGAAGAGGTAAAATTCAACAAGTTGTTGTCTCTGTCAGAAAAGAAACATCCAAGCCACTTGGAGAAAAAAATCTTAATTCATATAAGTACGTATATAAAAAAGCCATATCTTTGTCAATTGATAAGTTGTTGTCTCTGTCAGAAAAGAAACATTCAAGACACTTGGAGACAAAAATCTTAATTTATATACATATATAAAAAAAGTCATATCTTTACTTACTTTTCTCCTCCCAGCATTTGTCATCCGATTTGAGCACGTACTTTTTCTTACACGCGCACTTCTTACTTTCCGATGAACATTCTGCGAACTTAAACTCTCTGCACTGAGCTGTAACGGTACAATTGTCTCCCCAATTTTTGGCAACTGAAAGAAAAAACTCTCATTGATATATTATATTTTATGTAGAAAAAATGTTAAAAGGACAATCAGTGAAGGAAATCCATCAATGAACCACAAGAGGTGGAACACATTGAGGAAGACATCGATAATGTTGAAGATCTTGAAGAGTTAAAAGGTGGTGAACAAGAGCTGAGGATCGATCGCTTGGGCGTAGATCGTTGGTGACGGCTGAGCTCGCTATGGGTTGTATCGTCTCGAAGAAAGTAAAAGAGGAAACGGGTGTAAAATTATATACTTTCAATTAAACATTTCACACCCTTTGTAAACGTCCAGAATGGGGCCCATTTGTGATCATTCAGACACTTAGACCTCCTAAGGTGGGGTACTTTAGAAGAAAATTCGTTACAGGTTGCTAAAATTAAGATAACAATAAAATTTGGGATTTCTAACCGGTAAATATATTGAATTGGTGGATGCGATTAAAACAAGGGTAGTCCAAACGGTTTAAGTTCAAAAGACAAAGAAAAAATCTAAAGAAAGAACAATATGAATGATTTACAAATAAATAAAATACTTACTTTTAAGACACGTATTCCCGTATCCTACATAATCCGAAATACAATCACAAACACCTTCCATGCACTCCATAACATCTTCGAAGCAGTTGTTGAATGAGTCACATAATCCTCCAAGAGCTGAAACAAATATCAAAGATAAAGAATAAGAGAAAGACAGTGACCCAAGTACGGTGTATGATTCGCGTTGTAGTACCAGGTTAAACAAAGATTTTATGTGAACATTTATTAAAAGTTGTTTGTTTTCAAACCGTTCATTAATTCGTGCCCATGCAAGTTCGGAATGTGCATCAGATATTTGTAAGGAACTGATTGTTTCTCAAGGAAAGTTATAGGTACTTCGAATGAAATTTTTGTACATTTGCCAGCGTATTGTTTTCATTTATAATTGAGTAGCTTTATATCAAATACAGACATGTGTCATCCAAGAAAAATTGAAATAAATTATTTTTTTTGTAAACAGCTGCTATTATTCTTTTTATAAAAATCTCATTTTCTATAATTTTAGTGAAGGCTTTAAAAATAATCTTGTATACATTCTGATATCAGAAATATATGAAATTATTATAAAATTATTATTTGAAAATACAGATGGCCGCTTTTGCAACAAAAATGGGTAAATGTCCATGCTTGATCCAAATGTGATGGTAGGTGTCTGATTTTAATGCCAAAAAAATTGTATTTGAAAGATTGAACCCTCGGTTTGGACCTAACTAAAAATTTAATGCTTATAACATTCATACGGGGAATCAGGTACCAATTTTAAAATCTTTTATTCAATTTGGATTAGTACCTACCTACATAGCAATTTAACTAAAAATATATAAAGTAAAATATTCGAACTTATAATACTAATACTAATATTTAAACTTTAGTAACATTCAAATTGAAATTAACACAAGATCACTATCAAAATCAGCAATACTATTTTCACACTCACATGAATCGTCACATTCAACCAATATTTCAGGTTCTGCTTGCATTATGTTTTTGTATCACTGCAAAGTACCATTCTCCCTCCAATTTACTCCAAAATGTTTTTCAAGCAATTTTGCTACGTCCTTAACCCTTTCTGCTTTTAGGGTCACACCAATACGGATTTCTTTTGGATTGATCTGTCCAATAGTGTAGTAGGTCTTACAAATTTTTCTCTCTGTGCCACTGTCAAGGTTATAAGCAATCTCTCCTTTCACAACGATGTTTCCCAATTTAGTTTTCCGAAGAACTATTCGTCGGCAGGTGGAAATTTTGAAATAAAGTTGAGCTGCTGTTTTATCAACTTAATCAATCAAATCAACTTAATCGTACCATATTTCTTAAAAATTTCATGATATTCTTCTTTTGTCACAATTGAGTTGATTTTTTTAAACGTTTTCTCTATGATCCCAAATACCCTGTGGGCAGGAAAGAATGAGTGCCCTGCTACCTGAAAAGACTGTTTCAATTTTTGAAAATAAGATACACCGTTCTTCAATTTTCGGAACACTCCTATAATTCTATGCAACCACTTCCGCAGATTTTGGAGCCACGAGTGTCTTCTCCTGCCTGGCCCTCGCTTACTGTCAATTTTCCCCTGGACAATCAATTGCAGTAGACGGTACTTATCGTGTCTCAATATGTGACCTAGATATTCAAGCTTTCTTAGTTTAATTGTGCTCACGATTTCTTTCTCCTTTCCGATTCTTTAGATTACCTCTATGTTGGTGACATGTTCGGTCCAGGATATACGAAGAATGCGTCAGTACACCCACATTTCGAATGCTTCTAGTTTTCTCGTGAGCATCTCTGTCGGCGTCCAGGCCTCCACACCATATAGTAAGATCGGAAAAATGTAGCATTGACTAGACGTTCTATTCTCGCCTTAATTTCTGTGGTCTGTTCCCATTTTGCATTTACGTTGGTAACAAGGTACACATAAGATTCTACATGGCCAATTAGTATTAGTTCATCATCATCAGCCATTTTGCGTCCACTGCTGAACATAGGCCTCCCGTAAATAATTCCATTGCATCCGATCTTGAGCAACTTGAATCCAGTTAGACTGGATGCGCTTTAAATCGTCCGACCACCTTGGAGGACGTCCTCGACTACGATGAGCATCGTGTCTAGGCCTCCACTCTAAAATTTTCTTTGTCCATCTTCCATCTCTGACCCTAGCAACATGTTCTGCCCAGTTCCATTTCAGGGTTGTAATTCTTTCAACTGCGTCCGTCACACCAGTTTTTCTCCTTACTATCTGACTCGAAACTCTGTCCCTGAGTGATACGCCCAACATTGACCTCTCCATCGCTCTCTGTGCCACTTGTATCTTGTTAATTACTTTTCTGGTAAGTGTCAATGTTTCTGCTCCATATGTCAGAACTGGAAGTACACACTGATCAAAAACTTTTCTCTTCAAGCACATGGGAATAGCTGATTTAAAGACTTCCCTCAGTTTTCCGTAAGCTGCCCATGCCAGTCCTATTCTCCTTTTTAACTCTGTTGTTTGATTGTATCTTCCCAATTTATCGTGGCCCAGATACTTATAGGAATACACTTGTTCAATTTGCGTGCCATTAGTGGAAATGTTTTTTGCCAGTACCAGGTTGGTCATGTATTGTGTTTTGGAAAAAATTAATTTTAGGGCCAACTCGTGCACAAGAGCTCTGAAGGTCTTGAAGAAGTTGGCATGCATGATCTACCTGATCTGCAATAAGGACTATGTCGTCTGCAAACCTCAAGTTGTTCAAAAATTCCCCATTTATATTTAATCCAATATTTTCCCAATTATTTTTTCTCATAGCACTCTGTAATAGGGCGGTGAATAGTTTAGGAGAGATAGTGTCTCCTTGCCTAATACCTTTCTCCAAGGGAAATGTGTCTGTGTCACCATAGTACATTTTTACAGCAGCTGTTGCGCTATCATATATATTTCGAAGAAGAGTTGTGTACCTATGGTCAATACTGCACTCTGTAAGAGCTGTTAACATGGAGCTATGCTGGACTGAGTCAAATGCTTTCTCAAAGTCTACAAATATTAATATCAATGGCTTGTTGTATTCTATAACTTTCTCTATTAAGGATTTTATTACTTGTAGGTGGTCATTTGTTCCAAAGCCACTCCTAAATCCGGCCTGCTCTAGAGGTTGATGAAAATCTAGCTTAGGTCCCAGTCTGTTAGTAATTATTCTCATAAAGAGTTTATATAAATGAGATAATAAGTTGATAGGTCTGTAGTTGCCAATTTCTGTTACATCTCCTTTTTTATGTAATATTATCATAATGGCATTATTCCATTTTTCTGGCGTATTTCCTTCAAAGAGGCAGGCATTATAAAGGGTTTTTAAAGCCTTTAGTATTAGTTACTTATCCGTAATTGTCCAGCAGGTTGTTGCTTTTTGCTTATCAGCATCCACTTTGTCTTCTTGAAGTTGAGGCTCAGGCCGTATTCCTCACTAACTGAATAAACCCTTTCCATTACCTGTTGTGATTCATCTATGGTACTGGTAAGGATCACCGTGTCGTCGGCATATCGTATATTGTTCGTTAACTCGCCGTTTATTTTTATGCCCTCATTTGCATTTTCCATACATTTGTTAAATATTTCCTCTCGGAATATATATTGAATAGGAGTGGGGATAAGATACACCCCTGATGGACACCTCTTTTGATCTGCACACTTCCAGTGAGTTCGTTTCGAATTTTTGCTCTTGCTGTTTGACCCCAGTATAGGTTTGCCACAATTCGAATGTCCTTGTCGTATTCGAGTGTCCTTGCTGTATAAGCACCTGGAGAGCAAAAACTGCTTCTCTAGTTCCAAGTGCTTTCTGAAAACCAAACTGCGATCTATCAATATTTGACTCACATTTATCATATATTCTTCTATGAATGATATTAGTGAACGCTTTAGTGACATGATTGATCAAGCTTATAAGCCGGTAGTCATCACAGATCTGGGCATTTGGTTTCTTCAGGATTGTAATAAATGTTGACTATACTCCATTCCACGAATATCCTCAATCCTTTAGCCCTTGTCAGGGCGTAGTGACACCCTAAATATTATTAGTCTGCTGTCTCCATTGACTGCGATCTTGTGCCCTATGGACGGCTTCATGTAGGGATTTTCCCACCAAACTCTTCATTTGGTCCACCCATCGTATTGGAGATCTTCCTCTTGGTCTTCGGCCTTCTACCTTACCTTCTACTACCAATAGTTCCATGGTGCCCGTTCTTCTAGCTATGTGGCCGAAGTAAGTTAGGTATGCTTGGTTTACTTTTTTTAGTAGCCTGTCTTTTATATGAAGCTCTTCCAGAATTGACAGGTTGGTTCTATGTTCTGTCCAGGACACGCGTAGAATTCTTCTATATACCCACATTTCGAAGGCTTCGATCTTACTCCTATCGATTTTTTTGAGACTCCATGTTTCAGCTGCATATGTAGCAATGGGAAAAATAAGGGCATTGACCAACCTAAGCTTAGTATTCCTTGTTATTGTTCGGTCTTTCCATATTTTAATTAATTTAGCAGTTTAGCAGTTTATCCACGAATATACGACTGTTTTAAATTCGCTTTAATGTGTCGATTTAAATGGTCCAATGTACTGAATTGTACAATAGTAAATTCTCCCCATTTTTAAAATACTGTTAAGACAGATATAAACCTTAGATTTAAATATGAAGTCATGATATAAATATAAAGTTAATAGTTTATAAAACAGTTGTAATTCAGATTTTGAAGTATATAATTACTATCATGGAGTTTATTTTTTACACATTACACATATAGTGTAAATTTTTTAGTCGAATATTCAATTAATATTAAAAAAACAAAAAAACTTACTTATTCACTTATTCTCTTAATCTTCTAAAACTATCATCAACGATCAGATTCACAGCCATAATCAGTCGGCGATATATGAAACTGTATATAAATTTTCGTTACTTTTTAATATCTGTAACGACTCGGTACTTTAACTATCAATAGCCGGTATGTTATACCCGTTACTTTCGAAACTTTTAAGAGTACATAAACCCAAAGCAAACAAATATTTAAAACTAACAAAGTGAAATATTAGATCCTTTTTCTGGTTTGTGAACCATCGTTCTGCCAATTTCTTTTCATTTATATTAAAAATGGTATA